TGCTATTGTCAGAGCCAGGAAGGTGATGGTCTCGGTTTAGTTCCCCTTCCCTGCCTGTACATGGATGCCCGGCAGTGTGCCGGTGCTCGGCTCCAGCAGGGCCCCACGCCAGCGCTGGGGAAGACAGAGTTGCTGTCGATGTGCTTTTGTTCCTTTCGGGATCAATAACTGGACTCTGCTCCGGTGAGGAGGCTGAGAGCCGATGTGCAGAGCGCTGTGGGCATCCGCACGTGGGTCTGGCTCTTCCTGCCCTGCAGGCTGCTCATCAGAGCTTTGCATCTTGTTTCCCTATAGAGATGGTGATCCTTATCTTCTGCTTTAAATGGTGTCATTTGGATTCAGTTGTCACCTGTGTTGAGAACTGCTGTATTTACTCTCGGGAAAACTTGCCCTATCTTGTTTAGTCTCTCAGATAAGATCTTATTTCTGCACTGTTTTTAATGTCCAGCTTGGCTACTCCAGCTAATGTTCATCGGCGAACTCCCTGTGTTTTATTCTTCTCTGTCCTGCGAAGTTCACACCTTCTTCATTGCCTTCAGCAACCCATCAGGATTGTCCACAAACAAAACATCTTTGTTTTGAAAGACTATCTGTTGGCAGCAGACATTGACTTGCCTGATTCTCAGCTATCCTCAAGGCAGCCTGTGGCATAGTATTTATTCAGTATAATGACATTTCTGTGATGCAGGACATTATTTGACATCTATTAGTGTATATTCTGAAGTTAAAAATGTGAGGTTTGACGAATTCCCCCCTCTTTTTTTTTTTTCTCTAAGGGCATAGCTGTTTGTTTAACTGTACAAACAGAGCTATTTATGTTAGTGTTCCACTCAAAGCAAGTGAGAGGTTGCAGTTCCTCTGCTGTATGTGCAGGGAGGTCTTCACCTTTACCCAGCAGCAAGTAGAAATAGTTTCTTGCATAGTTTCACCTTTTGCTACTTCAGAGCTTAAGTGATGTGTTTCAAAGGCAAATGTGATTTAAGTGCTTTATGGTGTGAGAAAGTACATGCTCTGCATTAGACTTCTGCTAGTTTTTGTATTTACTGCTCTGTCAGTATTCAGTTTTGATCAACTGGAATGTCTAAGAAGTAGTAGTTACAAATAGATGCAGAATACATTGTTTTCCTCACTTAAACTCCACAGTACAAACACTGCTTTTCACTTTAGCTCAGAGGGGTTTTTAATTTTGATTAATTTAGTGTTAGAATTGGGAACAATGTTGAAGTTGGTGACAGCAAGATTAACTCTGTGCTTAGGGGGGACAGTGGTTTAACACACTTGATCTCTGAAGGATTAGAAGAACCATGGATTGCTGACATGCAGTTGAAATAGTCCAAATAACTAGTAAATTATTATTAAGCCCTAGTTGCCACTGTTTAAGGCTCAGAAAACTTCATTGTGTAATGTTAGTGCTGTTCTCTTCACTTCTATCATCCAAGTGATAAAAATTAAAAATTGGGTTGAAAGAGACCTCAGGAAGGAATCTGGTTCAGCCTTTTACTAGAAGCAAGGCTAACTTCAGTTGATTTGTATTTGGTTTTTGTTAAACCTCAACACATGCACAATGTCTTAAACACTGGATAAGGAGACTTCATGTGCTCAATTATGCACTGCAAGAAATGTGTTGCTTGTTAAATGCTGAACTTAAATTGCAAACAAAGGAGGTTTAAGCCCATTACTGTCCTACTGGCAGTGAACACCAGAAACTTCCCCTTCTGTAGAACTCTGAAGAATCTAGAGCTTTTGGGAAATAACCACATAAGGTCTACTTTCTAGATAGGCCTTTGTTATGCTTCCTGACCCTTCAGAGATCTCCTCAACGGAGCCCTACACATGAGTAGAAACTGTATGATAAAACACAAGCTGCAACGTGGTGTGGGATTGATTTCCTACTCATCTGTAAACAATAGTCACTGTAACTCTTCATGGGATACAGCCCTTCAGACCCCCACAGGAACCTAAAGCTGTACTTTGTGCCAGAAACAGTCAAACCCTTCAAATGCAGGGACAGGCATGTTTAACTCCTCCAGCCGTCTGGAAAGCCCTCACTGGTCCTCACTGTTGTTTTGCCTACAAGGACACCGTAACCCACCTTGTTAGTTAGAAACCTTGGGACCAACCAACTGAGAGGCTGCCTGGACAGCTTTGGGCTCTGCCAGTCATGTGTTTCTCTGTGTGGAAGCTGACAGGCTTATCCTAGTGCTCAGAGGAGATGTTGTGCTTTCCAGACTAGCCATGGGATTCTGCAGTAGTTCCTGAACAGCTTTAGTAGTCTTCCCATGAGCTATATGCTGTAAGAATCTAACCTTGAGCAGTGGTATCAGTGGTATGGTTTGTGTTTAAAAGGCCACAGCATTGCTGTCAGTTTATAATCTGCTTTTGGTTGACTAGGTTACAGCTGTAATATGATCAAACAACAGCTGGAGATCTAAAATAACTTGGAGAGGTTCTGTACCCTAGGGACCAAACGAAGACAGTCAATCCAGAGGAAGTGACTGACAGCTTGTCCTTGTACCAGTAAGATTCCCTTCCAGTTAGATATAAGCTGAGGTGCTAAACAGCATCAGTGTGATAAGGACAAAGTTTAGGATTGATCTGCTGTCCCTGGAGCTTGCTGTTGCTTGGGAGCTCACAAATATGTGGCACAGAGGTGAAGACTACTTGCAGCACTGACTGCTGCCTGGTGGGGATACAGCTTTTCAGCTGAGAACAGGACTCTTGATGAGTAGCCCTGACCCCAACTGTTAATGCTCCTAGTAAGTTAATAATGGTATAGTATACTGGGGATGCTCAGCACAGGAACTGAGTGAAACCACTTTTTGTTGCCCTTTTTCTGGGGAGGTGGTGATGCCCCCTGTCCCCTGTAATATCTCAATCCATGTGACAGGGCTGTCTACTTGTCTCTTCCCATCTGTCCAGTGGAAGCTGTGGCAGGCTGGCACATCAGACTGTGACATGGCAGGGGCCTGTGAAAGGTCTGTGACTGGTGAGGTACTGCAGGAACTGGGGCAGGTCCTGGCAGAGGGGGTGCTAACCTGGTGGAAGCAATTGATGCAACTCCAATACAGAATTCTTTTGGTGGCAGATAACATACATCAGACCAGAATGTGCTGGTGCTTATCTGAACTGGCAAAGCCTCATGGAGACAGAAAACAACTAGATTAGTAATCTTGAGCTTCTGTAACTTGTAGCTGAAATTTCAAGTTTCCATATGTGTCTCATGTAACTGCTACCTGTTCTCCTGCACTAACAGTCTAGTGAGTCTGACCTCTTTTTAATGGCCCAGATTAGTTGATGCTTCTACCTGGTAGCTGCCACACAGTCGATTGCAGCTTTTTTCCCCACTCTAATGTGTAGCATCACTGGTTAGTACCTTCTCAGGTGTTCTGAGACTCAGTAAAGCCTTGGTAGGCACTGAGGGTTTAGATTTATCACTGAGCTTGCTTTGTAGTGGGTGTTGATCATAAAACCAGTGGCATGGAGTAGAGAGAGGATGTGAATAGGAAATTCTTGTCATTGATAAAACTTTACCTCTGTCTGTATAATAAATATGGGAAACCAAGGGTGCAAATTTGAGCTCTAAAGCCCTCTAAGGTTTTTCCCCTCCTGCTTCAGGGGTCTCTCCCATGGTCTGTTGTAGTGGCAGTTGTCTTGGGCTGAATGCCTGCATGGGGCAGGTGCAGGGGAGGGAAGGGGGAATGTGGCAGTGCAGTGCTGTGGGGAAGCCCTTGGTTCTGGAGTAGGATACTTCACTCCAGTGATCTCTGGTCTTTACCTTCGGAGCTTGGTGTAAACACAACTGTTTATACAGGCTGCTGGGAGAGTTGGTGTTTGAGGGAACAGATGTGTGCGATGAAGAGATTCGGGGTTCTGAAGATAACCTTTTTGTTGTTGCAATTGGCAAATGTTACAAGAGTACTCTTTAATTGTGTAAATCTTCACTTGCACAATGTTGTGATGGTGATACTGGACTAACAGTGATCTTCTTACCGCTCAAGTGCGATCCTTCGGTACTGAAGACCGGCCCACGGACAGACCTGCTCCTCCCAGAGAAGAAATCTATGAATACATCATTTTTCGAGGCAGTGACATCAAAGACATCACTGTCTGTGAACCTCCAAAAGCTCAGCATACTCTGCCACAAGATCCTGCCATTGTTCAAGTAAGTTAGCTGAAGTGTTGATAGAAAGCTGTGATAAAACATTGGTGCTGAAGGACTGGATTTTGGTATAAACTGATTAAAAATGAAGGCCAGTAAGTGTCTCCAGGAATCTTCAGATTGCTTGAAGCACCCTGAATTTCACTGTAATGTTTAAAATAGCAGCAGCATTAAAGACTTCAGTCAACAAAAGCCAGAGCTAGCTGAGAATGCAAGAAAATCATAAAGAGGTAAACTAACGCTTCTCAGTATTTACTTAAGCTATAGTAATGATGTGTATGAAGTAGAGAATCGCTGCCAAAGCAAGTTGACTTCTGGACACTGTAAATGGAAATGTACTTTGTCTTGTTACAGTCTTCACTGGGCTCTGCCTCTACATCATCCTTTCAGCCACATGTGCCTTACAGCCCGTTTAGAGGTATGCCACCTTACAGCCAGCTTGCAGCCAGCTCTTTACTTAGCCAGCAGTATGCAGCTTCATTAGGTTTAGGTAAGTAAAAACTTTACTTGCTAGAATAAAGGTCTGATCCTTGTATGCAGCTACTGTGAAACTAAATAAAACTAATCCAAACTTCCTGCCAAGTGTTAGGCTGTAACCAGCAGTGAATAAGTAGTTAACTTTGTGCGGTGATCTTCCTGCATGGAGGCCTCTGTTTCACTTACATGTGCATGTACAAACACACACACAAGAAACAAACTAAATAGCTGAACTTTCCGTGAGTAATGTGAACACCTAACAGTTGAGGCCAGCTCATTTCTAACCTACCATACTTTTCATATCCATTATATGTAAAAAGAACTTGAATTCCCAGAGAGGACTGTAAAATAAGCCACTCTAATGCTGTTCTAGAGATTCTTGTACCTCTTTCCAAGTCCTTCAGATGTTTCACTACTTGGTATCTTATCCATGTATCTTTGCTTTCTCTTCTTCCCTCTATCTCTTTAGAGAAATTGGTAAGCCCTCCAGCATCAGCAGCTGCTTCCAGTCCTAGTTCTTCTCCGTCTCCACAACCTGTCTCAGAGCCTGACATGTCTTCAGAGCCCCATCAGCTCTCTTCCAAGGGTAACAGCAGTTTGAGGACTCCAATTATTTGGAAGAACTGCATGGCACTTGCAAGCACTCTGTTCTTGTTAACCCCTCCTAGAATGATAGTACTTGTGTGGGTAATGCTAGTGGGACTAGTTTGTTCTCAGCTGTTTTTTTGCCTTTCATTACATAAAGTATTCCTCCTGTCCCAGAAGTATCAATTAGACAGGAGAAAGTACAGGACAGTGGATCCTCTTGTGTAAGTATGAGGAGGGGGCTGAGGTTCAGGGATGTTGATATGCTGCATCCTATTCAGGAACATGTGTCACCTTAGGGATTGCATGAGGAGTTGGCCTTTGCTTGGAAGACAAACACTGCTGAAGTTGTGGGAGGCCTTTCTGTTTGAGACCTAGGTTAATAGAAGGTTCAGGAGTATTGCTGTAGTTGATGAAGCATCAGGATAGACTTTATGCATGGTGGGGCATTGTACCTTACCAAGACACCTGATTAGCAAAGCATGACTAACAGTAAGCAGTTTGAGTTGTGGTAAGGCTGAGATAACAGTTCTGGGTGCTTGCTTCTATGTATGAAAACTTAAAGGAGGTTGAGTAGAGATACTAGACTGAACATCCTCAGAGCAGAGAGACAAGGTGCAGCCTGCATTTAAACATGGTAATGAGTTTCATCTGTGTTTAACTCAAGTGTGTATGCGCGCATTGGCATGGAACTGGTTTTGCTTACTCCCTGATTTTGCTCATCTCTCTCTGCCTACTTCCTCAGTATGCTGGCTAAGCTTTGAAACTTTCTCATGTTAAACTTGCACAGCAGCTTTGTCCTATTGAATAATCCTTAGGATACATCTGTCTTCCTTCCAAGTTTTCCAGATGTACCTTAACTGGGAACCTGCATGATGTTAACTACTGGGTATATCTCATGTAGACTTGAGTGACCCAGCAGTGTCAGTGGCTTGGTTTGTGTGTACTCTTCAGCTTTTCACTTTTCTTGCTCTAAGTAAAATTCAGAGTTCGCTTCCGAACAGCTCCTATGCGTAACTACATGAACGTGTAGTATTTCAGAACTTCTAATTAAACCTAGACTGAGTGTTTCTTCTGAGTACTGAAGACTGTCACTTCTTGATATTACTGGTGTAAGGTATACCAAACCATGAAAAGTATTTACATGTTTTGTAGTGTGAATAAATAAGCCTGGATGGAAGAGCAACAGAAGTCTTGGTAACACTTTGGCCTTGACCAAGAAGGAATTTAAAAGGGTAACTTTGAGATCCTGGTCTGGTTTCAGGTTTTCTTTGTCTGAAAGCTAACAGTAAGCAATGAAGTTGAAGGACTTCTAAAAGCAGCTTCCAAAATGGGATACGGTTGAGGTGGTTGAGCTTTTGCTGCAGAACTTTCTTGACAAAGCAGAGCAGCTTTCTTGAGCAGTTTCAAAGCGATGCATTTTTTGCCTCAGATTTAAAGTATTGCGTAAAGTAAAATCCTATGTAACCAAAGATACACCTAGAAATTAGATTTTGGTATAAATTGTTGAGGAGACTGACCTGGCTCGCTCATCTACTGTGTGTCTAACTTTGCTGAAGAAGTAAATTGGTAGGTTTCCTGATTTTTAAGGCTCTGGGTTGGAGAGCCACAACTTGTAGTGCCTTCCCTAGTGTATATGCCACTTAAATGTAGCATGTAATGATGAACTCTCGAGGCTTTGAGTAAGTCTTGACAGAACTGTTTCTCCATAGCAGTGGGTAGGGTTTGAGAAGCGTTGGCGCATGCTCTGAGAGGCACTTGGTCACTGGGATCTTTTCCAGGTGCTGGTTTTCCTTCTGTTCACCCGGTCCGCAAAAGCCCCATGGTGGAACAGGCTGTTCAGACCGGGCCAGTTGACAACATGAATTCCCAAAAGCCACCCCCAGTGAAAGTAAATCCCGGGGTTCAGCGCAACGGGCGGCAGGTTCCACAGGGCAGCACTAAGGCAAATGGTACGTACACACCGCTGCTTCCTTCCGGTGCTGTTCTCAAACAGCCTCCAAAGGTGCAGGACTGAACAGTCTGGGGATTGTTCTCATGCTCCTTCATTGAGTTTATCCTTCTCGTTCAGTAGATACAGTTCAGGCAGCACCTGTGCAAACCCAGGGGCAGGTGAATGATGAGAACAGAAGACCTCAAAGGAGAAGATCGGGTAGGTTAACCCGGCACTGAACAGTTGTGTTGGCCTCTAAAGGCAAGTATTGTGAGCTTCAGTCGAGGGTTATTGGACAGAAGATTGAGAGCAAAGCAAAGCTTGATAAGACTTTGGGCATCCAGAGGTGCTTCCCTGACAAAGTAGGTTCTGGAGTCACAGAGGTTCAGAGCATTCCAGGGACAGAATCTAGTGTCTGTCTAGAAATTTGAGGGTACATTATAAAACTTGATGCTACAAGTTGGCAGCAACAACTGGATCTCTCTGAATCCTGAAGTGTTTTTACTGGGAAGGGGTAGCCTGTTTGGGACTTTCCAAAGCTGTTGGAAGTGAGAGGAACTACAGAGCCCTTGCTTCCATCAAGGCTGCAGTTTAAGCACGGGTCAAAAGAAAGTGAAATTGAGTTCAAATAGATGCTTCTGCCCAAGCAATGTGAGGAAAATAAAGAGGTGTGTGGGGTTGGAAAAAGGCAGAAAACAAAAACTTAAGGCTGAGGCCTTCAAAATAGTTTGCCCAAGGGCAGTGCTGTAGAAAGGGGTTGATAGTCTCAGTTGGAAACTAGCAGCTCTACAGAGCACAAGCTCCCTTTGTGGGTAGGTGAGTCTTGGGTGGGTTTTCCAAAACCAGTGACCTGCTCCTCTTTGCCATCGAGACGGGTTCGTAGCGTACTTACAGTGCCCTGCTTGCAGATGAGTAGCAGACAGGAAGGGCAGTTTTCCCTGCTTCCCTCAGCTTTTCTTGGTGTAGTGCTTGTTCTTATTTCCCCTCCTCACCCTGGGAGGAGAGTTGGGTATATTCTGTCTTACCATTAAGACTGACATCCAGGAATGCTTTTCAGACAGTTAAAGTGTTGCTGTTAATGTCTCCTACAGCCAAGTTGAGAAGTTACTTTCAAAGAGGTGTGGCCTAACCACAGGACTGGAAGCCAGAAACTCCTGAGTTCTAACCCAGGTTTCCTCTGGTCTTGAGCAAGTCATTTAACCTCCCTGTGCGTTACCCAGTGTTTAAACTCTCCTGCTTTCAGGAAACAGGAGAACCAGAAACCGTTCTAGAGGACAAAACAGACCAACTACTGTGAAGGAAAATACAATAAAGTTTGAAGGTGACTTTGACTTTGAAAGTGCAAATGCACAATTCAACAGAGAGGAACTTGATAAAGAATTCAAGAAGAAACTGAACTTTAAAGGTTTGTGATTTCATTAAATCTGAATTGCTGAGCTAGTAGTAAAACACTGCATAGACAAACTCGTGCTGAGAAACTGCATGATTACATCTGAAATGTTGTTTGAGGGAGCAAGAGAACAGATGGCTCTTCAGCATGCACCAAGGAAGTGTAATATGCTGCTTTATCTTCAGATGACAAAGCAGAGACGGGGGAAGAAAAAGGGGACCCTGGAGTGGCAACTCAAAACAATGATGGCAGTGCAGAGGAGGACCTTCTGGGACCCAACTGCTACTATGATAAATCCAAGTCTTTCTTTGACAACATTTCCTCAGAACTGAAGTCTAGGTGAGTGTTCTCGAAAAGGCTGCTGGGTTTTAAAGCTATTTATGTCTAGAATTCTGTGCCTAAATCTATGTCACTTGGTTTAACTCTTTCAAAAGTGTAGAATGCAAGGAAACGAGCAGAACAGCCTTCAAAGGCAGTACTGCTGTGCATTTTGTGGCTTACAAATGATAGTAACCAAGCTTCATGCTGTGGGATCAAACAAAAAGCAAGGATTTCAACTGATACACTTGCCTAAACTCCGATACAGGAATTTCCAGTTCTCTTTCCCAGTACTGTCTTTGAACCTGTTGATTTTCAAACAAATTTCTTATCTCTGTTGTGGGAGGAGGCGTCAGGGTCATGCCTGCTGGAGATGGAGCAGCTTGCAGACAGGAGCTGAGCCTGGAGCTGGGGCAGGGAGGAGGTCAGCTCTGTCTGTGGAGATGCATTAAGTTAGATGTTGGGGATATTAAGAGAAAGCTTCGTCTTTGCTGATGTTATCACTTGTCTGGTGAAGTCTGACATCCCTGTGGTGTCGGGATGTGGAATTCCCTTGGCAAAGCTTTCTTCTGAGTGTGTTCTCTAAGGTTGAGGGCAGGGTGGGCTCTGCTGAGGTAGAAACACACCAGTGCTATGGGACTGCCTCAGTAGCAGTCAGCTGAAATGCTGGTAAGATCGTGCTCAACCCTCTCCTAGGCCAGTCTTTAGTTTTCCAGTATGAAAGTGGCTTACAAAAGCCAACAGTTGTCACTTTCAAATCCCTGCTCTGCAGAGGAATTGAGTTAGTATGTCTGTGCTAGGGAGTGTGTGTGTGTTGGAGTATGGTTCTGTTGCAGTTCAGTTGAACAAAACGGGGTGTGAGAGGCTTTCTGCTG